AGCAAAGAACAGTGGCAAAATTTATTCGAGAAAGCAAAAATTAAGAGTGGGAGAGAAACTCGCTCTGCAGAGCGAGCTCAGCCCGAGTAAATAGCAAAAGAGGAGGAGGAGACGTAAAACTACGCGCTGCGTCTGGCAAACGCGGTGAGTGCCGGGCTGGAAAGTTATGGTAGCGCTGGTCCTCCCGGCTGCCTTTCTTTTATGCTGTCCAAATCTCGAGGAAACCCGTGAGAACTTCTCCATCCGGGTCCTGAGAGGCGTGCTGGGCTCCCACCGGACACCTCAGGCTGAGGTCGGGTCTAGACCATCCTACTGAAAATCCACGTGTCAGGATCTTGTAATAAACAGGTCACACCTACTTCTCCAGCCGGCTCTTGCCATTCCCCAGTCTCCTACCTCAAACTCACTGTGTAGCCCAGCGTGGTGTCAAACTCAGTGATCCTCCTGGCTCAGCCTCTGACTGCTGGGATTACATGTGTGCACCACCATGCTTGGCTATACGGTACTTTTTTTTTTTTTTTTTGAGATAGGGGTTTTTTTTGGGGGGGGGGGTTGGTTTTTCTCCGGTACCAGGAACTGAACTCAGGACCTTGCGCTTGCCAGGCAAGCGCTTTTGCCGCTGAGCTAAATCCCCAGCCCCTGAGATAGGGTCTTGATGTGTAGTTCAGGCTGGGCTTGAGAACTTGGGGCAATCCTCCTGTCTCAGCCTCCAGAGTGTTGGAATTACACACGTGGGCCACCACACCTAGCTTACAATTCTTTTAAATTTTTCTGAATGCTTGAAATTTCTCGTAATAAAATGCCAGCAGAATTAACTGCCAGGAATTTATCTTTCCTAGCAACACCTAAAAGTTCCTATGGGCATTCATGGTACCTTAGATGTGAGGAAATTATTGTTAAGAAACAGCCTCAGCTGGGAGCCTACCCCCTCCCATTCCTCAAAGCGTCTCCAGACTTTGCTTCCCAGAAACTTCGTTCCCTGTTGGATCCTCCACTGCAGCCCATGACTTCCTCTCCCTCACTCAAAGTTGTTTGCCTCCTGTAGGCCGGACGGTGCAGGCCTTCTGCTCACTTCGACTTCAGGACCAGAGGGCCCTGTCACACTACGCTATCCCATGCCTCTGAGCCTCTGCCCGGAATGCAGTTCCCCACCCAGCTGCCTCTTCCCCACCTTGGCCAGCTTCCGTCCATCTCACAAGACTCAGCTTACTGGGCTTCCCTGCCTTTCTCCCATCCCTCACCCCAGGCAAAGCTGCTTCCCTTCCTGACCCCCTGACAAAAGATCTTCCACCTAACCCAGCTCCAGCCAGGCCCCTCCGTGTCTTCTGAGCCCTCTTCCACCTCCGTCTCTAAGGATGGAAACAAACACCAACACAGTTCCCAGAGGTCAGGGCCACCCCTGGTCTCCTCGCTCCTCAGTGCCTGCCTGAGAAGGCTCAAGGCCAGCTGGGCGGGAAGAACAGTTTGTCCCTTGCTCTGAGAGGGCAGGAGCCAAACGCTGATAAGCCTGGTCTCAGGAGGGCCTAAGCCGCCCCCGTGTGCTTTTTGTATCTCTTCACTCCTGTGACTCCCCTGCCCCGTGCAACCTTCCCGGCTCTCGCTTCTTTGAAAGGCCCCTCTGTACAGATTGCAGCTTGAGGCCGGTTTACACAGCGCTTTTCTCTGTTGCAACTGTTACTACTGATTAAAATCTGTCCTTGCTGCGGGCCAGTGTCCAGTTTTGTTTATCTTCGTCACCGCCCCCTCCCCGAGACCTTGCCTAACCCCTGGGTGTTGCTTCCGCCAGTTCCCCAGTTCTATCTCCCCGGTTTACCTGTGAGCCCCAGGGGACAGGGCAGTGTCCAGTCCCCAGCCACACCCACGAGGAGAGGCTGGGGCACAGGACGGAAGAGAAACCCGGGGTGGGCGGGCTTTATCTTGCTGCGTTCCCCCGGCCAGTGGGAAGTCAATGGGTGGCCATGCGCAGGCGGCTGTAGTGCCCCACGGACAGTGATGTCTAATGAGGGTGTAAGGCTCCTTGTACCTCTTAACCTTGGGGAGCCCCAGATTCCTGTCCTGGAACAGCAGGACAGTACCACCCCACCATGTGGTCTTCCAGAGAGGGCTGGAGGGGAACTGATAAGATTTTTCCCCTTTTTGGTGACACTGGGATCATACCTAGGCCCTTATGCCTTCCAGGCAAGCGCTCGGCCCACCCCAACAAGAAGCTCTGAGAAACAGCGCTCTGCTCTGGCCTCTGTGGCCCCTCTGACAGCCCCGCAAGGGGGTGTTGACACCACCAAATCACAAGTGGAGACGCTAACCCGGGCGCACACAGCACGAGGCCTGGGACACAGACCTGGGGGAGGCACCTGTAGGCCTCTCAGCTCCCACCCAAGCTGGCCTAACCATGGGTACAGCTCCTCCTGGGGTACAGAACAGGAAGGAGCTCTTGGCCAGGTGGGGCTGGGGCTGCTGATGTACTTAGCAGGAACTGTGGCACCCCCAGCAGTGGAGAAGAGGCTGCTGGGACACGGGTGGGCCCAGTCTGAGGCCACACAGCCAAACTGGGACGGAGTCATGAGGGACGCCAGTGAGGGAGGGCAGGTGGGCAGAGAGGACTTCCGGTGTGTGTGTGTGGAGGGTCAGGACGGGCCTCTGGCCACTCACTGTCCCTCCAGTCACCTCCCTCGGCCTCCCCTCTCTGACGCAGCCCAAGCCAGACTCCAAGAGCAGGAGTCAGGCCCTCTGTTGCCATAACAACCGATCTCAGAAGTAAAAATAGTAACTTATTTTTTATTCAACTTCTTTAGCCCGTGGAGAAAAGGCAAATCCGTGTCTGGGCTGCTGTTTCCCTTTACGGGTCTCCTCCGGGGCCCTGTGGAGCCTGCTGCTGAGGTGTGCTGGGAGGCAGACAGCAGCTGGGCCAGGAGGAGGTCAAGCCCCTCGGGCAGGTCTAGTCCCAGCCTCCTGGGAGCTGTGGCCACCTGTGGCCACTCTGAGCCAGCCTGGCCTCCCCAGGGATCCTTTCACCTTTGCAAAGCCAGCAGGGACCTTTCTGGAAATTGAGGCTGGGGTCTGGGACAGTACCTGGGGACAGGCGGGTCAGAGTGCAGCCTGGGGCCTGGGGGTCAGGCAGAGCCAGGACAGGTTGGCGTGTCCCGCCTGCTGCTGCTGGGTTCCCAGCCTCTGCAGCTCAGACCTCGCTGGACTTTCTGGGAGTCGTGTGTTGGGCAATGAACTACGTCCCTGAACTGGGCTCCAGGGCAGGGCCTGCCCTCACTGGCCACGTCTCCTTGGGAAAGAGGAAGGTCTCCGGCCCCTCAACCTGGTGTCCCTGCTCCACCTAAGGGGCAGGAGGCACTGGCTCTGAGCTGTGGCTGACCTGTCCATCTTCTCCCCAGCAGGACACACCACCCAGAGGCAAGCATCTTCCCACCAAGGTGCGCACCACCCAGAGGCAAGCATCTTCCCACCAAGCATTCCCCCACCCCCCACCTGGACCACGTCCTCGGGCCGTTTGCAGACTCCCCGTCTTTTCCACCTCCTTTCCTTGCAAGTGCTTCTCTTGCCCACTCGGCCTACGCTCCCCTCTCTCGGTGCAGGGGCCCTTAGAACTTTCTGCATGGATGCACCAAGCCCATGAGGCACCCACAGCCACACAGGCCTCCTGTAGCATGGCGGAGAAACTGCATTTAAAATGCTAATTTTAATGTGAATGCCAACACTGCCCCGGGCTGGAGGGTCTCAGAGTAGTAGTCGAAACTCAAGTTGGTCAAGATGAGCAAGCTCCGTGCCCATGGGCTCCGAAGTGTCCTCCCATCCTCCGAGGGTCCTCCCGTCCCCGCACAGGTGGACTCCTCGCTGCGTGAGGCTCCTGTCCTGCCTACTCCTCTGGCCTTGTTTCACGCCAACCTTGACCTCAAGCTCTTCTGGCTGAGACCTAACTAATGATTGTCCCTGCCCCCCCCCCCCCCCCGCTCTTCCTCTGGATCTCTTCTTTTCTCCTCATCAAGTGGCACTGAGCATTACCCACTGGGCCTAGCCAAAACCCAGCGGTCACCCTCACCTCCTGTGCCAACCCCTCCCCACTTCTAGCTCCCGGCTGGGCCTGGTGGGCCCCACCTCCTGAGCATCCCCGAGCCCCTCCTCTTCCCCCACTTCCACTCCCCAGTACCCCACTTCTCACTCTGCTTCCATGAGAGAGTGTGCCTGCCTTGGTCGCATCTGGAATTGGGGTGAACTGATCTCTGTGCTTCTTGTTCTAGCTGCCTTGGGAGGGGTGCGGCGGGCTGATCTCCCAGTGTTTAAGTGGACCTCAAAGGAAGCAAGGGTAGAAATAGAAATAGGGAAGGGGAAGAGGCCTTGTTTTCCGTCCCAGGACCAGTCTTGGGCCCCCTCAGGCAGTGCTGATATTTCTTCTCCATCATGGGCTATCTAGCCTCCTGCAGCCCCTAAGCTGTCAACTTCACCGGCAGGTAATGTGCTCCCCGTAGCCTACAAGCACCGGCCCAATGGACAAAGCTGAATTCGGGGGAAGATTAATGGATGGGCTGAGGGTAGATGTCCCGGAGAGTGGGGAGCCACACAGCCCTCGGTGGGGAGGCTTCCCTGAGAGCGTGGCCACTCCCCGGGCAGGTCCGTTGGGGACAGCGTGGTCACTACTAGACCAGGAGACGCGCGAGCAGTGTCCCCTCTGTCTTCCAGCCCAGCCCAGGGCGTCTTCTGTTGCCCCGGAGGAGGGGACGCCCAGTCCTCCGGGCCGCGGCGAGGGCAGGAAGGAGGGGACACGGCCAGGCTTGGTGACGCGCGCCCAGAGCCCCCGCGCCCCGCCCCCGCCACCATCTGCTCGGGATTTGGCGTCGGCGCGGCCAGCTGGGGCTCGGCTCGGGCTCCGGATCGCGGCGGGCGCC